AACCACTTCTGGTTCTGGGAACCACAAAAATACACATTTCTGATTTACATTCACTTCTCAATTTTTATTCTATTTCTCGCATGGTCTTCAAATACAGTTTTACAGGTCTTTTTTTCTGCTACAGATACTGTTGATCTAAAAACAGATTTAATGAAAGTGGCATTCCAACCTTAATGAAAATCATAACCATGAAAGATATGTCAACATATCACTTTACAATCCTAGAATGATGGTATTGGCCTGACATTCCATAGGCTTATACAATTAACTTCTATAATAATAACAAAGTCATAGGAAGAGAAAATGTGGCAACTCCTTAAAAGCCAAGAAATAAGGCCACAAGCATCCTATGCTGTAATGTTACACATCCAGATAAAATAAGTTGACTCTGGTATCCATGAAGAAACAAAACTCTCCCACCTGATAAACCAAGGTATCAGCTACTCAACATGCACTCAAAGCTGTATAAAAACTAGTGGCATTCAGCTCTGACTTACATGAAATCCCATAGCACAACCCCGTACCTCTCTCTAAAAATGAAATGAACTTGTTTCAACTTAAATACTTCGCTACCGCATTAAAAAATTGTTCACATTCTCTAAAGGAAAAAAAAAAACCCAACAAAAAAAACCATCCTGCATGTGACTGCACCGGAAGGCCCAACACAGCATCTCCTTACAGGTGGCAGACAATGTTACTGCAGTCTTAATGCCATTCGTTACAGGTGGCCTAACTTCTTCTATGTAGCTGGAGGCTTGTAAAAGGAACTCAACTTCCTTTGTGCACCACTGAAAAAAACCCAGGAAAATTAAAGAGGAAGATAAAGACAGCTGATGGCAGCAGGTGAAAGAAGCAAGGTACTGCGAGGTGTGTACCATTGGCCAATTACATATCTGGGACTTCTGTGAAATACCAATTTCATAAATGATGCAACTACCTCACTACCAGATCCCATACCACGCTGATTCCATCCCGTAGCCAAACATGTCAGTCCTGGGTAAAAACATTAAACTCTTGGAACATTTAAAAGTAGGTAACCATTTAAATAATGTGTAAAAATGTGCTTATTGTGGCATTTCTTATAGAAAAGTTATTTGATACAAATGTGCAGGACTTGAAGACCCTGATTTAATCAAACTAGTACGAACAGGCTTTGAAACATGGTGACTGTGGGCCAGCTCTCTCCCTCTCACCATCTTTCATCCACAATCCCGTGCGAATGTTA